CTACATATAAACCTCAAATACTTGTTTGATTTTTTTCCAATTTTGGTTTTACTCTTTTTTCTTAATTTTAATCTTAATCTTAGTTCTCGCGAACTGTATCACAGTCCTCACGAACCGTATCTTAATTCTCGTGAACTATCTCATGGTTCTCGCGTACTGCATGACAGTTGTCGCGGATGAGATTTTACTTCTCGCAAACTTTATCTTAAGTTTTCGCGGACGATAGTTTACTCTTCGCGAACTGTGTCATAGTTTTTGTAAGTGATATCATCTGGATTTGTCATTGTGCCGCTGCGTTTTTCGAATTTCGTCCGTAAATTTATCAAATTTAAAGCTGCAGGAAGATTGCTGTTTAAAAAAGGTCGGAAAAGAAATGTGATCTTCTTATTTTTAAACCCATAAATCTTCCAAGGTCTTGAATTTCATTAAAATTCATAAATCGTATGAATATTTCATCATATGGGAAGCATTTTCAGAATATTTTTTAAAAATATAAATAATTTAGAAAATTTGAAATCTAAAAGCAAAAGACCCGAAATTTTACAATTTTCAAATGAAATTTTGATTTATTTCTTTTGAATTTTACCATACCTCGCTTAGCAATATGATAAGCACCATTTCTGGAATTCATTCTTTATGTGAAATCCGATCGGAATCTGAGGCTTCTCGTGCCACGGTTTCCGGTTTCACTTAAAAGCAATCCGGAAAAACAACCAGCGAACTAAGCCCAACTACCGCGCTATGAGCAACAGCAAAGGTTAACCTCGAAGCTTCCGGCATGAAAACTGTGCTCCCATCGTAAATATCGCAAAATACGAAGCCGTTTATTCGTTAATCCAGGTTATGCATTTTTTCCGGACAATAGGATAGTTTTCATATGCTTTGCAGGTCTATAAATCTTAGATTGTATCTTTCCGGAAATTAGACCAAAAATTGCAAAACTTACGTTTTTTCCAGTTCTCCATCATTTGTATACTATTCATTTCAAGTAGAATTCTCGGACATAACTATGTCAATTAGAAATGACAGTAATTCCAAAAATAAAAATTTATTGAGAGACATTGACAGACAGTATCATTTAGGAATTTCCATATCATGGAGATAGTCTTTTTTTTTAGGAATTTCTTGAGACTAGACAAGGATATTATTGGATCAACCATGTTACACAGCACTGAAGTTGCTTTAAATGCTTATTAAAAATGTGTCGCATGTTTTTTAGCTAATTAATGAACTCAAATAGAAACAGCAAATTTACTACATATTATGAATATTCATGATTTAAATCCTTTTGAAAAATAAAATACAATCATATGAAACGATCAATGACTGACGCATGACAGACAACCAATAAGATGCATGTTGTCGTGAAAACGAAGCCTCAAATAAATTCCTTCACCTT